ATATATATATATAAAGATACAAATCCATCAATCAGAAGACCACACCCATTTAGAGTTGGCCACACCCCTTTTTGAGAACTTTTGGTGCAGACATCCACAGCTAACTTAATCAAACGTTGTTTGCATGTCCCATGTACATGTCCCTGGGCAAAAGACAGTCCAGCTGTTCTTGGAGCAGTTGAATTGCCCATAGCATTAGACTCTATGTCCCAAATGGACATGTTGGCTCCCAACCTGACAGTAAATCTTCTGACCTGGAAAATCAGACTTCATTGTAGTTAACCTTGCACCGAGTGCTAACTAGTTGTGATTATGGGCATAAAATCTGGTCCAATCGGAACACATCTGATGTGTAATGTGGAGTGAGTTTGGACCAATGAGATTTCACAGTGGTTGGAGCTACTGACAAATCTCATGCAAATATGTGGCTGTTTTTTGCATAAAATGATCATGTTTTATATGAACATGATTGTGTAATGACATCACATTATAAGACAAGTTAGCAGTTGGAACCTTAGTTGCATATTAAGATTAATAGATTACATTTCATATACGAGTAAAACAATTTCATATGCATTCAAATGCAAGTAAAACACAATGGTCTCAGTTTAACTGCTTATTTTGACTTTCTCTCCACAGCCATTCGTGTGACAAGACTAACCCTCTGCCTTCCACCCTCAACCCAAACGCTGTCCGTTTTCTGATTTCCCCTCTGTTAACTTTAACCTCAGGAAAAAGCACAACCCTTTCCTTTTTTGTTTGTTTTTTATTTCACATTTTGATTGACCAAGTTGCCAAGGAAGTCTTTATATTTGGCTTTAGGAGGGCTGAGGGACGGTTCTGATTTCATGCAGTATGTTTTTATGTTTCTTTTTATGTTACAAGTGAAATGAAGTCTTCTAAGTAAAAGTGCTGTATTAGTTTCGTGATTCCTAATAAACCACCAGCTGCACCCATTGGGATTCATTTTTTACATGCACCCTTCCAAAAAAAAAATAGTTGCGGTCAAGCCTAGCTCTCAAAACAACTGCACATCCTCACTTAGTTCTTAGTTAACCGTGTCTAATGCTGTCAACAACTGTTGAAAAGTGATTTCTAATTGTGTTTATGCTCCCTTACTTCCTCTGCCTGTCCCATCCTGTGTGTTTGTTTACCCAGAGACCTGTGCGGTGAACAACGGCGGTTGCGATCGCACCTGCAAGGACACGGCCACCGGGGTGCGCTGCAGTTGTCCGGTGGGCTTCACCCTTCAACCCGACGGCAAGACCTGCAAAGGTCAGTGTAGATGCGTGTTGTTTGTGCGAATTGTGTTTAAAGTTGCACGGAGCATGTCCTGATTTCCTCCCTCTGTGTGCTTCTGAATGTCAGGGAACAATTTGAGATTTCCTGTATTTAGACTGCAAGGCTCGGATTAAATTGGAGACACGTTATTAGATGAATTCTTTTGCTCGAAATGGTCAGGTATTGGCGGATGTGTGATCCCAAGCCAAGACCAACTGGCTTTACATCCGTTTGTCCTGTCGTGTGGAATGGGTCGGTGATGGCTGTGTTGTTGTTGCTTTGGCTGCGAAGCATTTCTTCCGGAATTCCAGCTTTGATGTCAATGACCAGGGGTTTCAAAGTAAAACTACCGCGGAGCGATCTTGGCATGGGATGATGGTGGGTTCTCTCTAAACAAACACACTCAAGAACTCACTGGCCATACTATGGTCCAAGAGACCGGCACACTTCAAAATTAATCACTTCCTGTTCTACCTAAATTGGTGATGGCGAACAAGTATCTCTTTACCTGTGGGTCACTTCAGGAGAATGTGTCTGAAATTGGCTGCTTTTTCCTTTTCATTTTCCTGAGTGGTTGCTGTAGTGACGAGGCGTGGTCATGTGACCGTTTCTTCAAGAAGGAAGAGAATGTAGCACGTATGTGCGTAAAACAGCCCCGTCTGCGCCATACAGTGAGACGCCTCTGCAAACCAACCGCTGTTTGATTAGTGAGGCTGTCATACAAAACCACACACACATATAAACACACAATCATAGCGCCATCCTGAGGTTAGAAGGCCTTTAAAGACCTTTCTTTGTGTGCTGATGCATTTCCTGTTGAAACAGGAAGTTTGGGCGAGACCCTTTTTTGTAAATAATCAAGAGGTTCTAGTTTGCATCACAGCCGCTAGAATGATTTGCTGCTGAAAGCAAGTGTTTAATTGGGGGGGAAAAATGGTGTGTGCAAGATGAGGCATCAATATTTTACTGTACAGTAGAAATACTGTAAATCTAGAAAAATAATGTAAAGAAGTAAAAAAAAAAATATATATATATATATACATTATATATATATATCTGCTGGGAACCCATAGTTAATCCAGCCTAAGCTGGTTTGCATGTTTTTAAGATGTTTTTAAACTGTTTAAATCAACATGAAAAGGTTAATTTTGTCAACTTTTTAGGCCTTTAAAGGTATAGCTCACCCGAACATGAAAATTACCCCATGATTCACTCACCCTCAAACCATCCTAGTTGTGTAAGACTTTATTCTTTCAGACAAATACAATCAAAGTTATATTAAAAATGTCTTGGCTCTTCCAAGATTTATAATGGCAGTGAATGGCTCCTGATTTTTTTAAGTCCAATAAAGTGCATCCCTATATCATAAAAAGTACTCCACATGGCTCTGAGGATTAATAAAGGCTTTCTGAAGTGATTTGATGTGTTTAAGAAAAATATGCATATTTAAAACTTTATGAACCACAATCTCTAGCTTCCTCTAACTGTCGTACGCTCGTTCATGAGAGAGTGGTGTTCCAGCGGATGATATAGGACGTAGTTACCAGAAGCTAGAGATTATGGTTTATAAAGTTTTAAATATGGATAATTTTCTTACACAAACGCATCGCTTTGCTTCGGAAGGCCTATTATTATTATTAGTGTGGAGTACTTTTTATGATGGATGGGTGCACTTTATTGGACTTAAAAATATCAACAGCCATTCACTGCCATTATAAAGGACATTTTTAATATAACTTAGATTGTATTCGTCTGAAGAAAGTCATATACACCTAGGATGGCTTGCCAGTGAGTAAATCATGAGGTAATTTTCATTTTTGGATAAACTATCCCTTTAAAGGGGTCATATGATGCTTTTTTAAAGATCGTTATTTTGTGTATTTGGTGTAACAGAATATGTTGACATGCTTTAATTCGCGCTCTCTCTCGCGCTCTCTCTCGCTCTCTTACGCTCTCTCTCTCTTTCTCTCTCTCTCGCTCTCTCGCGCTCTCAATTCAATTCAATTGAGCTTTATTGGCATGACTTGCACAGTATTGCCAAAGCATTGTCCATTACATGAATAAACAATTATATAATACACAAACAAAACAACAATAGATAGATATATAAAATAATTAAGTAAATAAGTACACGTGTACTTTCTTTTTTTTCTTTTTTTTTCCACAAACAAGAAAAATATTAAAGACATTGTTAAAAAGAAAGAAAAAAAAACTTTGCACAACAGTACATGTAAGAAATGCTCTTGCTTCGGTTTTGTCCACTGCCTAACATAGAAAGGAAAACTTGAAATCGCATCATATGACCCCTTTAAGGCTTAATACCACAAAATGTCAATTTTATGGGGCCTTTAAAAATTTCCAACTGTTTTATCTTGTAACATACAATAATGTACTTTTTTGTGTTTTAATAATGGCATTAGTGTATTGTGTTAGCATGCTCTTTGATTGGACAAAAATTTGTCCTTGAGTGCAAGATGAGTCAATATTTTACTGTACAGTAGAAATACTATAAATGTATGTAATTATGTAGAAATATATGGTAAAGATGTAAAAAAAAACAAATACTGTAAATCTATATATCTGCTGGGGGGAAAAAAAACACTTAAACCATCTTAAGCTAGTTTGCATGTTTTTAATCTGGTTTAAAATGGTATCCCAAACTGGACAAGCTGTTAATTGGCCGAAACCTTTTAAAACCATCCGACAGACCAGGCTGGGAGACCAGCGTACTATTTTAGGCTGGTTTAAACTTTTTTCAGCATGGATAATTTCATTTTGTCAGCTTTTAGGAGCACGCCGGCATAACAATGGCTTTAAAGTTAATAGAAATTAACTTCATTGAAGTTCAATTTTATGAGATCTTTCAATTTTATTTTTTCAATTTTTTCAATTTTATGAGATCTTGTGACACAACTATGTGTACTTTTTTGTGAGTTTGAATGTGATGGCATTACAGAGGTGTTTTGTGTTACTGTGAGGTGTTATGTGTATCTCTGTGTTTGTACTGTAAGATGGATGTTGGTCTGGTTCGGCTGTGACCCGCCCTAATAATTAGGCCCGCCTGAGGGTCTGCCTTCATAAATCCAGCACAAGGCCTTAGATCTACTCACTGACACACCATTTATCACACAGACACTCATGCACTCACACACGTACTTTTGGGTCAATTATCACAGGTGTGCTGTGCCAGTGACCGCTTATTACTGCCTGTTAGTGAACTCTGTAAAAATAGCATGTAATCAAGCTCTTTAGTAAATAAGAACAAGGGTGCAAAAACAGGGCCGAGATCCACCTAAGCGATGTTACATTGGACTCTGGCTGTGAACGTTAGATCTGACACTCTTGACGTCTTTGTTCAGTTAGGTAGCAACTGATCGTCTGTATCAACATATGAGTTGATGCTCTGATGCCTCTGAGTTCAAGCTGAATAGCTGGAGGTAGGACCCTTAACAGGCTCAGAGTTCAATAAAGATTGCCCAATTTTATACAGGGCTATTATATATTCTTATATGATAGATTTCCATATATATAT